TGTTGACCCTAACAAACCAAAGAAGCCTGCTTCTTCATTCTTCCTCTTCTGGTAACTTAAAAAACACAAAACAACCCATCCTTGTAATTCTAATCTCAAATAAGTTATTAACTGTTTTGTAAACAACAGCAAAGACGCGAGGAAGAATTTGGCAGAAGAGCATCCTGGGATCAACAACAAAACTCTTACTGCACACATCTCATTGAAATGGAAGGTAAATAATATATAAATTTCGTTGTAAACTTAATGAGTATTTGTTGATAGTCATTGTTAATATGTGAAAATTGTGTGAATAGGAATTGGGTGAAGAAGAGAGGCAAGTTTATAATGGAAAAGCTGCGGAGCTAATGGAAGCGTACAAGAAAGAAGTGGAAGAGTACAATAAAACCAAGACCGCTTAGTAGGAAGGAGAATACTAACTCACTCTCTCAGTTAGTCAGAAGAACAAAAAAATGAGAATGTTCAAGTTTACTCGTATTGAACATGTCGATATGACTCTTGCTTTTTTTCAATTTTAGGATTTCATCTTTTGTAAGACTTTTAAGTTTCTGAGAAAAATGATTATCTTCATTTTTCATTTTCTCATTCTTAAATCCAAATAATGTTATCTCCGATTGTTTCTTCTTAGGTGTTGAATTTGCTTGACCTAAACAAAATTGCTCTGGTATATTGTTACTTCTGTTTACTATACCAAAGTTAATTACTGTTACGATGACCTTAGCATACCGGAACAGTTTTAATTAACCGGTAATACTGGGATATGAAACTCCACCCTTAATTCAATTGCATATAAAAAACGTTTTAGACTTTTAGATAAGAGAAATCTTAGAAAAATAGTACTTTAACCGGTGACAACTGGCTATATGTGATTTTTTCTCCAACCTCTGCATCCAGTTTCCGATTGATTCTTATCCAAATTCATCACTAAACCAAACCAAAGCATGTGTTACACATACAAAAATAAAAAAAAATTGATACTCTTTAGCTTTGTCAAGTAAAATCTTTATTTTTCTTTGTCACTATATTAACATAAAGATTCTTGACTCTAATATCGAATCGTGAAAAGTCAAAGTCTCGTGCAAATAGTTTGTTTTGTTACAAACTTTACAATATACTACGATTTAACAATTAGTAGATAATAAAACTATTTTAATCAACTAAAATCTTTATTTTTCTTTGGTCACTATATTTTAATCTCAAGAATCTTCAACCCCTAACCGTGTAAAAATGTGGGGAATCCCGTGTCAATCTCAGCCGTTGGATCAAACCGAAAATCCACGTCAAAAATCGGAGAACTCCCTGTGGAAGTATTAGTGGAAGAGATCAATCCCATGACATCCCACGGACCAGAACATCCCACGTTGCCACTGAAATCTCCGTTGATAGACTCGTAAGAGTAAAACGGCGACGTAACGGGGAATGAGAAGCCGTCGCTTTCAATCCCAGTGGTATGAACACTGAGATTGGTCCTGAGATTGTCGAGAAGGTCGTTTTGGTAATTTACAGCTGTGTGGTTTGGTTTAGTAGTGACTCGCTTCTCAGGAGGTGGAATCCCCTGCGTGCAAGTGTGTGTTCCTCTGTATGTTATCTCGAAGATCGTCGGATCACCGTCCGATCTTTGGACTTGTTTTGTAGCACAACAATATTGCGTATTACGAAATGTGCATCTATAATAACTTCTGCAAACAACAAATAAGTGTATTAGTTTAATAAAACATGACTAAGCCTATGCACATTCTTGGCTATTTAAAAACACTATCCAAATTCACTAGATTCGATGACTTATTTAATAAATATGATGACTAGAATATTAATTTATCGAATATTAATTCATTGAGATTTTATTGTTTAGTTAATATGGATAATTTGTTTATATAGCCAATTAATTTGCATCATACATGGATCATTCGTAATATATATTTTGTTCATGAATTATATAATTTTCTCTTTCGATGAAAATATATTTTAGATAATAGCTTTAGATATATATGAATTACTCGCATCCCATTCGTATCCGTAATTTACGCAAATTTTAATCTAAAATGTAGACTTTTAACATGATGTCGAGGGTGATAGATTCTGATGATGTACCTTGGATATTTGGCTCCCAAAATGTCTTTTTGGCCATATTTTCTCCAGCTAAAGACATCATCATGAGGTCCTTCTAAGCCTCTCTCTGGACTGATTCTTACTTGCTCTGTCCACTTTGGCAACATCTTCCTGCAAAAATTTCATTAATTCTCACATCCCTAATTAAAAAAAAATATTATGATCAACTTTATCTAGTTATTAATTTTCTAATTCTGCTCGCTTTTGTTTTATGCCTTATGTTATTAAAATCATGTTCAAATTTTTTTTTTACCTCTTTTTGGAACTCAAGTTGTAATCTTTGGATCCACCATCAAGAAACTCTTCACTTCTCGGACTTCCGGTAATCGACGTCGGAGATTCCGGTACTTTACCGGAATCAGCTACCGGATCCACCGCACGCTCCAGTATCATATTGTGTTGTACGGATCCATTTAGCATC